GAAAGGGAGCTCATTATTATCTACTATTCTCATCTCAGGTCCAATCACAGCATTTTCTATTATATTGAGCTGAGATCTGCCTCCCCACAACCTCAGCTGATTGGGGCTGGTTATGCCCTCCAGAGCAGAGCCAAGCAAACTAATCCCTATTCTTCCTGATGACTTTCTTACATCTAAAGACAGTTTTCACATCCCACTCCAGTTGTTCACATTATGCTCTTACTGTTCTATTGGGTCTCTCTCGAATGAAAAATGGAGAAAATTCTATAGCTGGCTTGCTCCTCAAACAATGTTAGAATATGCCTCTTTTTTCAGAAGAGGAATCTGAGGGTCAGAGAGATGAGGGTACTTGCCAAATAATCTTAAAACCAAGTCTCCTTAAAAGTCTGGTGTGTGATCTTTTCATTGCATTATTGTGACATACTCCCAATTTCTACATTTTCAGAATTACCCCCAAACTCCAAATATGGCCCAGTATCACTCCACAGCTCACTGTGGTTATCACTTCCGTTGGTTAGCTGCACTGTCTATTAATGCTGTCTAAGCTAAGATTGTAGGAGCTTACAAAGTATCCTTCTCACATGGTGGGGGCATGCCCTTTTTATTGGATCAGCGATTCTCAATCATTTACATATTAGAAGCACCCAGGGCATTTATTATTAAGACCAATTAAATCAAGATGGGCCCCAAGCAACAGTAATTTCTGATTTACAATAGGTGTTGAGAAGCACTACATTAGATAATACTACCTCATTTTCCAAAAAGGGAGAACCAATATCGTATTTAAACCCAAGAAGTGTGTGTGTGTGTGTGGGGGGGGGGGATGGGTACGAGCTCTGAGTGTTTGATTATATTACTTGATCTCAACTTCTTATCAAGGAAACGTGTGGGTTTGACTCATTTCTTTTAGCTCTTTAGCTCAGAGATGTGGAAATGACATGATCTGCCCTTGCACTTTGAACCATATCTTGCTTGCCTATATGCCTTTATCTGGCTCTCAAGTCCTGCCGGGAATGCATGATCTTCTTACAGATCCTTGTAGTATCTTGTGTGAGGTCTGGGGCAAGTTGGCGAGGGGTTCCATGGTGCATTTCACAGATTAGGCACATGGGTGCCTAGAACACAGAGCAATAGCCCAACCGGCAGAAAGTCAGTTATTTGGTAATATCAGAGGAACCTTATTCTTACCCACATTTATTGATGTTGTCCATGCAGACAACCCAATCCTTAGTAGATTTATCTTTGGTTGGAAAAAACACGTTATAGAAAAAAAAAGATATTGATGTACAAAGGGGAAAGGAAATGTATGTTAAATAGATAGTAAGTGTGCTGCAAGTCTGGAGAGGATATAATTTCAGACTTCACCCTCCTCCTGCCATTTCTTCACCTGTGCTCCACGCACTGCATAAATGTCTCCTTTCTGGTCTTGCCACCCATTAGATGTAGTTCGAAGTTTTCATGCCAGTCTATCCCACTTGGTTGTGCATTCTAAGTTTGTATCTCTAGTTGCTACCATAGTCCATGCTAGATAACTATTTGTTGAATGATTGCAAAATGCTGGTTTTGGAGATTGTATGGGACTCAGAGATGTATGTTGTGTGCATGCCCATCACCTGCTCAGATGGTCTCTTTATCTTCTTTTTCTTTTTCATCCTCACCGGAGGACATTTTTGCATTTATCTTCAGATAGAACAGGAGGAAGAGAGGGAGGAAAAGAGAGAGAAACATCAACACGAGAGAGACACATGGACTGGTTGCCACCCTTACAAGCCCTACCTGGGCCGGGGACAAGCTCCATCCGAGGTACATGCGCTTAGCGGGAACTGAACCCAGGACTCTCTGGTCCACGGGCCAACACTTTAACTGCTGGGCCAAACCAGCCAAGGTGGTCTCTTTATTTTCTTAAGGGCCCTGGGCTCCTAGGAAACGGTATCTTAAAAATGCATGGCACTAATTTTTAGGCCAACTTCTTTACCAGCTTCAGACTTTCTGTGTTTCGGGGTCCAGTTCTCAGATAACCAGAGCTTGGCCTACTAGGGAAGGAAGGTAACGATTCCTGTGCCTGTCAGCTACAATTTGAATACAGATCCATTTCTTTAAGTGGACATTTCATTCAGGGATGGGGTTCCAATTTTCAGGAATCCTTTATTATTATATTATTATATATTTAAATGTAAATGCATACCATATAGGCAATATATTATGTATAGATATATATGCATATATGTATATATGTGTATATGTATGAACATTTTATCTATAGATATATAAAACCAAGAGTGAGAGGATTCCCTGTTCCTTCTCCTTCCCTCCTCTCTCATGATTGAAAGATGGGCTACAAAGAAGGGACACAGAGTCTTTTCATGGCGTTGCCTTAACTTTGTAACTCAGGGCAGTGTATTGCACCTGTGCCTCTTTTCCTCAGCTTTAGAATGATGGGTTTGACTAGGTGGTATCTCAGATAAACTTTTGCTGCATTATAATTCTGTAGACTTACCATCTATTATAGTAACCTTTTTAAAAATCCTCACCCGAGGATATGTTTTTTATTGATTTTGAGAGAGAGAGAGGAAGGGAGAAAGAGAGACAGAGAGAAAAATATCAATGTGAGAGAAACATCAATCGGTTTCCCGGACTAGGCATCGATGTACAGGGACCTTTTGATGTACAGGACAATGCTCCAACTAACTGAGCCACCAGCCAGGACTATAGAACATTTTTAATAAGGCATGTGCTTCTCTGAGTTGCTCTTCAAAGAAACACAACACAGGAGGGAAGACCTTATAAATATGCCTAGGTTACAGAAGGGAAAGGATTTGAGCAACAGGCAATCATATGCTTATGGGCAAACTCTTCTGATTTCTGGGGCTCGCTTTTTCTATTTGTAAATTTGAACGTGTAGGAAATGGCCCACAATGCTGTCTTAACCCTCTGTGGGCTTTGGTGTAGAAATCTAGGTGCACAATGGACAAAGGTCACCTGATTACAAAGAATGATTGTTTTGACACTGGGTTGTGTGTCTTGATCTCTACTTCTATCATCAGCTCATATGCCCTGATCATTTTTCTAGTTAAGCATCACTTTCCCACTAATAACAATACTCTGGTTTAAAGGGTAGCAGAAGACTTATTGAAATGGGGCTTTGATGGAGGTCTTGCAATGATGAGTAGTAGAAGAAATATTTGTGGCCAGCCAGGAAATTTCTCTGGAAAAAAAAAAAAAAAACAACAAGACAGGGAGGTCACTTGGGTAAGAGGGGAATGAATTATCTATTCAGAATCAGACTGAACCCCATCCAGGATATGGACCAGGATGGGATTTGGGGAGTCCTCCCACCCAGTTTCCCTTGCCCTACTTCACCTCAGCATTTCTGTGAAAAGTGTGAGAAGAGTGAAGAAACCCAATGACAAAACTCAAAGGAGAAGCTAACTGAGGCAGTCAGCATAGGACGTGGTTGGTGGGGTGCAGAGCAATCTCCGATCACTATCAAATCATTCCACAAGCCAAATGTCCAAAAACTCTCACATAAAACGGGGCAGTCAAGAGTCCTCTCAGAATCAGAGATTTGAGAAAACTCTACCCAAGGTCTTTAGGCAAAACCACCTGCGAACTTCCTGAACCTGTATCTGTTCTATATAGTCCTGTAATGTAGACATGTCCCTGAGGAGTTCATTCCCCAGTTGTCTAAGATTGCAACTGAGTGGCCTGAAAATGCTTCCGTTCTGCAGCCCAAATACAGGTTCTCAAAGAGATAAAAATATTACTCTATTTTGTATGAACTGAAGACATTCCACCTCATTCTTTCCACCACCCCAATTGGGACCTGCATGCCAAGGAGCATTTGTCATCGCTCTGTGTCTTTTTCCTAATCTGGTATCCAATTTTTGCGAATAACGAGAAAATGCAATTAAGTATCTGAATGCATACCTGTCGCTTAACAAAAAGTAAACCCCTGAAAGTGAAATGTAATTACCAGGTTAAAAAAAAAAATGCACCCAGTTTCCAGAGCCTATCACATCTCGCGCCTCAGCGCGCAGCTGCCCCCAACACTGCTCCTGTTGTGTCAGATAGTGGCAGTGTTGAGCCCGGGAACCGACGCCGAGCCCGCGGCGGTCCCCGCGGCCTCCCGGTCTCCGCGGCTGACTCCGGAGCGCAGGAGCCACTGGGCCGCGAGGGCGCTGCGGAGCGGGAGGGGCGGGAGGGGCTCGAGGGGCAACGAGGGCTCCCCGAGCGGCCTCCACGAACTGTTTTCCTTCCCCCTGGGCAAAAGCCCCACTCCCTCCAATTGATCGAAATTCACCGAAAATCACAGCGAGAGGGGGGCTGAGGGAGAGGTCGCTCGTTACTGGCTGTGACTCCCCGGGCTCGAGCCAGGGAAGCGGCCCCGGTCTGCTGGGCGAGCAGTGTGGGCTCCCGCGCCCCCTCCCAGGCAGATCGCGGGGTGGCGGTCCCCGCTGGGCTCCGCCGCGCGGCCGCTCCGATCCTCCCCCTCCCCCGCCCGCACCCTCCCCCTTCCTTTCACTAGGACTCCGGGACTCGGGAGAGGGCGCGGGAGGCAGGCACACGGGCCCGACCCCACTCCAGCGCTCGCCGGGGACGCGGGCGGGCGGCGAGGGGACGCGGCGGGGGCGCGGGGCGGGCGCGGCCATGGAGCGGCGGCGGCGGCGGCGGCGGCAGCACTAGCGACCGCGGGCGGACCAGCGAGCGGGCAGGCAGGGCCGCTCGGCACCGCGGACCGAACTGCACAGCTCAGCAAAAGCGCCCTCGCCCTTCGCGCGCCGCCTCCTGCGAGCCCAAACCCGGCAACATTTTGTAAAGCTCCAGTTCAGCCTTTGAAGAAAAGGGGGGAAAAAAAGATAACATTGATCGGAGAGACGGGAATATACATATATAATTTTTTTTTTTTTTTTTTTGCTTCTGCTAAAATTAGCCGGCTCGCCGCGCGCCCGTGTGCGAGTGTGTGCGAGTGTGTGTGCGTGCGGGCGTGTGTGTGTGAATGTGATTACTCCAGGACTCCTCGGGCTCCGGAGACGCCATTTTCCCCCTTGATATCTCTCTCCATAAATCGGTGGCGCGGCGGAGGCGGCCGCGCCGGGCGGGAAGCGCGGGGCCGGCCGGGGCGCCCGCCGCCGCCTCCGCGCGCCCGGGGCCCCCGCGCCCCCAGAGCGAGGGCGGCCGGCCCGCGTCTCGCCGTTTGACAGATGCTCATCGCTATGGAGTTACCGCAGCAGCACCTTTGGGGGCTCGGACGAGCGACTGGATCCGGGATCTGAGCGAGCGCCGGGGCCAGAGGAGCCAAAGCCGCCGGGACATGGGTGAGCACGCGCGGCGACCTTGGCTCGGGAGCCCGGCGCTCAGACTCCCGCCGCGCCGCGGGCCCCCGCACGCCAGGGGCCGGGGGCGGTGTATGTGTGCCCTGCATGCAAAACTTAACGTCGCCTCGCCGGGGCTTTGACTTTGCACGGGGCGGGAAAGGGAAGACGGGCCGAGGGGGCGGGATGCCGGTCCCGGCGAGGCTGCCTAGGATGGGCGCGATTCCGGCCCGCTCGCGGGTGGGCAGCGATGCTGGCTCATTTGGAGTGGCCCGTTGGTGGCGGCGATGGTGGAAGCGTCGGGCTGGAGGGCTGGGAGCTTACTGCGTTTCGCCTAATCTATTCCGCCCCCCCTCCCGCGGCCTTTTGCACCCTCCCTCAGTCCTGCCGCCGGCTGCCAGGGCTGGCGGGTTTGGTGTTGGTGGAGTGGACTCGGAGGGGGAGGGGGGAGGGAAAGGGGTGGGAAGGCGGCAGGATTTTTTTTTTCTCTCTTTGTAACTTGCAGGTTAAGTGGAGCTAGAGAGCTACATTGTAACCTAGTTGGATTTTTTGGGGGGAAATGTATCAGAATCTAACGTGTCGTTAATAGAAAGAAGAACAGGGAAGAAGTGGTCCAGCCGGCGAAGGTTGGTGTGTGCTTGTGTTGTGGCTCTGTGTTAGTCTTTCTCTTAAAATCTTAATCAATGGATCTGAGGCTCTTTCTTGTGCTCTCCGGTTTTGGGACTTCGAAAAGACAGGAATTCCCTTAAAAGCAGACGAATGCCTCTTTTGAAAGCACGCATTGTGTGTGTTTCTGGAGGAGCCGTGGGCTTGGGAATTAAGGGCAGGCTTCCCCCGTTCGGTGGTTTCCAGTGGGAAATCACTCCGGAAAGGGAGCCCTTCAGTATCGATTTATTGTTTTTGTCTTTCAAACCATTATCTCTTTGACTAAAATACTGTCTGAGAAGTTCCACAGAGACAAAGTCAGGTAAACGGGACTGGGCAGATCTTTTAGCAAGATGGTGATGCTGTTTTTGGTGTCTGTTTGTGATGGAAGCATTGTTGGGTAATAGCAATTTTTGATCGGTAGAGCATGCTGGTTCTAAAAAAAAATAAATAATTGCCCAAAGTCTGTCTTCCAGTCCCCCTCCCCACACACAACAAGCACCTCTTCTCCCCTGACCCACACCAATTACAACAATTCTGAATCGGATCCAACTGGAAATATTTTCTTTGCTGATCAGAAAGTTGTGCAATTGGAAGTAGAAGATGAGGCTAGAGGTCCTGGAAGTGTGGGGAGCGGGGGTTCTTACTGCCCGCTGATGCTGCGTTTATTCTTTATGTGTTGTCTGTGTGGGTTCTGAGGGTGTGTATATTGGTCTAAAAGGACTGTTGAGGGAAGGATTTCCGATTTGTTTCCGCTTCAAATAAAGTGTCCTGATAATCTCATGGTTGACGTCTAATGCTAAAAGGCCAATTTGTGTCTCTTTATCCTTGCAGTAGCTTTCCTCCAAAAGGGCAATTTATTCTGGAATGCTACAGCAGCTACTTTTCCTTCCTAGCCCCCAACCCCCATGGCCCCCAATCCACACCTGCCCCCCCCCCCCCAAGTTTGATTGGAGTCCATGGTCTTTAAGGAAATACTACTAATATTACTTGCTTTTCTCTTACATGACTTTTCATTCTCTTACCTTATCCTTCATCCTGTTTTCTGCTTTTCCTGTAAATTTGTACCAAAAAAACCCACAAACAAACAAACAAAAAAAACCCCCCACAAAACAAACAAAAAAAACTTCATAAAGTAGCTGTCACCAAAACTCTCTGGCAGTTCAGCCCCATTTTCTACCCTCTCTTAGTTCACACCAGTAAATTGGATGTGCCCATCTGAAATCATCTTCATCTGCAAACAGTTGTGTGTGTGTGTGTTGAGAGGTGGGGGCAGGAGTGTGTGTGGGGTGGTGTCCAGAAGAGGGACACAGAGAGGAAGGGTGTTGTTCTGTGCAGGCCACATCTGCACCACTGGGGCCAGACCTGGATGGTCTGGGAGAGTTTCCTTTGCACACCACAGTTAGATGTTGTCTGGCTGGGATGGGGAGGCGGGGCCAACTGGCCAGGAGGCGTGTTAAGGGAGGAGAAAGTTTGTAGCACTTTAAAATGTAGCCAGTTTACAATCCCAGGTCACTGTTTCTCCCTTCTCTTGTTTTCTGTGGCTACTACCATGCAGAGACCCCCGAGGGAGGCAGAATCTTTTTTGCTTTGACCAGGAATCCCGGGTTTCAGAACCAAGTCTAAGATGCTGTGTTTTTTTTCCTCTGTATTTAATGGAGTTGCCTACTCGGAGGGAAGGGCATTAAGACAGAAGAGTGTAGTCGAATACAGAGTATTTGCAAATTTCAAGGAATGTAGGCTAAGAGATTATGAAAACAAGGTACTCAGAAGGTGCTGTTTTGCATACCATCTCCCCTCCCCCATTAATAAAAAAAAATGTCTTAGTCTTGGAAAGTTGAATTGGTGTTAGAGCTGGGCTGAGAGAGCTGCTTGCCGCTATAGTAACCTGAGCTGGGCTGGGGGGAGGAGGTAGTGAGCAAATGCAATCCTGAGCCAGAGGAGGGAAACCAACTGACTTGTCTCTCTTAGCAGGGAAAATAGATGTGTCACTGGAATAAACAAACTAGAAACGGGGGAAGGGAAGGCTTGTAGTGAACATAAGGCAGAGTGGCTGAGAGGCAATGAGGCGGGTTTGGAAGGGGCCACTTCTAGCTTGAGAGAAAATATCAACTGCCTTATATGTTCATGAATGGGCTAGACAAGTGACGGGGTGTAATCTGATCTTTTGTGTGTTAACATCAGAATGTTACATAGGAAGGCGCTGTTGGCCAACTGAGTTGGACTTCACACAGAGGAAGCCTGGGGGTACCCCTGAGTGAACCAAGGAGCCCTTGGTGCCACCGGGGCTTCTGGTCCTCTACTTGTATTATTCATGGCAAGCTACTTTGTAAATTAGTTGACCTAAAAGACGGTTGGAGAGAAAGAGAAAATAGTGCGTGGGATCTTTGTAGAATGTAGTTGAAAATGGTCAGCGGGGAGAGGCAGGAGGCAGGAGTTTGCTGAAGAAGAAATAAATAGGTAGGCATTTCCTCCTGGATTCCCGAATGTGTTTCTGCCATTCTCCTGACGTTCAATTCCATTAGGGGCCCAATCAATACTTGTCTGGAACGAAAATGCACCTCCAGAGGAGGAGAGTTCTTTCCACCAACCAGTCATTATTCTCAGTTGTACTTCAGTCTCACTCTGAAGCTTCTTTATCCCATGCAAGAGGAGGAAGATGAGAAGTAGCTAGATGGATGGGACATCCCTTCTGGATCCCAAGGAGACACTGAAACTTAGCCAGTCCTCAGCCTCCCAGAATGCCAGTTTTCCCCTCAGAGACTTGAAGTTTTAATTGAAACCAGAAAGCTAATGAAGGCAGACCCAGCCAATGAAACCTTGTTTTCTCTGCTGCTCAGGAATGGGAAATAAATAATTTTTTTTATTTTTTTGCTGATGGCATTTCAAGTTGCTTCAGCTCTGCTCCTGCCAGAAGACTGGGGTAAATTATTATTAACATTAGCATTGCCAGGGGTTGCAGTGCCTTAGAAAGGTTGTGGTGTCCATTGAATTTGCTCAGGGACCCGCTGTGGGGGACAGTTCTGGTGGGGTGGGGGTTCAGGAAGCTGCTGTTATCCCGGAGAGCTGCCCCGAAGAAACGAAACCTCATAGAGTTCTTGCCACATGTCACTGTGCTTGGTCCTTGGGTTTCTGTGAAGAGTGGAACAAAACAATTCAATTCCATGCCTAGGCAGCGGCATATTATGAAACTGAGTGAGCACCTCAAAATGTTTTGGGCCAGGATTAGGTAAGGAACAGTATCATCATACATATGGCCGAAGGTGTGGGTCTCTTTTAGAGCTATTTCTAAAGGCAACCTGGTGTTTCACAAACTCTTCATAACATTGCAGACACTTTCGGTAGCCAAACGCTTGATTGGTGCAGAAGATGAAACACCCAGCTGCCCAGAGAGTGTACTTCATGGACGTGGGGAAAGTGTCACTTTGCATTCTTGGTTGGCTCTGAGTTTTCATTTCCATTTTTACTGACCCTTCTATTAGATTCTTATGCCTCCTTAGACACACCAGTTTGGGGCAATGTAAAGTTTTGGGGGCAACTGGTAACCTTAGATGACTGAGTTCATGGTCCTTCCAGTTCTCATCTAAGTTTTAAAGGTTCAGATGGAATCAGCTTCCCTTTCGGAGTTGTTTTTGTCCCCACTTAGTGGGTGCCCTCTAAGGTGGAGGGGACATTATTTTTTTTTAATGGCCTTTGGCTTAGAGACCCACAGTTGACTTCCTGTCCAGTACAGAGCAGATGCTGCCAGGGTCAAATGGAGAAGGTGAGCAGACCTGAAGTCCCACAGGGTCACTGGCAGGGAGGGGCCATGCCTCCCCAGGAGCCCGGGATGGATTCTGATGAGCAGACACATGTCAAGTATTTACAGGCAAAGCCAGCCGAGCTGACCCCCAGACACATGGGGACTTCTACCTTTTCACGTGCTGGAGGGGGTGGGTGTTGGGAGTGAATGGTAAGCAGGTAAGAGCTTCTGAACTCTGCCAGCTTGGAAAAATGTTTCCCTAACCCAACTTATTATTTTCTCATAAAAAATATCCCCTTTTATATGCATGGCACTCTGCCCTTCTCAAAAATACCTTCATATCCTATTTCCTCCTTGATTCTCCTAAGGAGGGAGGCCAGATAAGTATTTTATCCTCATTCAGACCAGGCAAGTGATACAGTGACTTGTGGAAATGACACAAGCTGGTGGCCAACCTGGGACCAGACGACTGTGTTCTAAAGTGTGAAGACGATCATACCTGAAATGACAAATCTGCTTTGGATCCTGTCCCCCTACATCCTGGCAGAATGACCCCCTTCCAGTTCTTTAACCTCTGTGAGCCCCAGGAACCTAATCAGTAAAATAGGGATGAAGA